CCTTGCTAGCAAGCATAACATTTTCACACTTAAATCCAGCTGTACAAGGTACCACTGTAGCAAGTAGTTTACTCTTACAGTTTCCCCAACCTCAATTGCTGGCACACATTAATTTGTGCCATGCTTAAGAGCCAAACTTCTGTCAGGTGCAGTGGTGCACGCCTGTAATCCCAAAGGCTCGGGAGACTGAGGCAGGAGGATCACAAGTTCAAAGCGAGCCTCAGCAAAAGCAAGGCACTAAGCAACTCAGTGAGATCCTGTCTCTAAATAAATACAAAATAGAGCTGAGGATGTGGCTCAGTGGTTAAGTGCCCCTAAATTCAATCCCCAGTATACCCCCTCCCCCCAAAAGAGCCAAGCTTCTGACTGGGTTTATGCCCTCTTTCTGCCACCCACTAGCATAGGGTGGTTATGAGTTTTAATTGAATACATATGAATAAAAACTGCACAGTATGTGTACTATGTACACATTAGCTAATAGTAGCAATCATTCAAATAAAAATAATTAAGTAAAATGAACTTGTTACTCCACCCTATAATTTTAATACTAACATTGTCTTTGTGATAATAATGCTGATATTTTTTGAGAAGAAAGTTATCAGTTGTTAAGCACTGTGCCGTGTTACATCTCATTTAATGCTCACAATAAAGCTATCTGTGAGTTGGTGTCATGATTGTCACCCTTTTATACTTGGGGGTCAAGTGACATTCCTAGGGTCACAAAGGTAGAGCAGAACCTGAAACTATGCAGTGTGACTTAAGCATCTTTACCCCAAGTCACTCTGCTCTACTTTTTGCATAATGTTTGTAATTGTTTGTAATTGTAATCCAGTTAGTTAGTCATCCTGTAAGCCTTTTATCTCCTCTACAGAGCCTTAGTACCCAGGACAACCAACTCCTTTAGGTTGCTCACATATTTCCATGTGGCTGGGGTTACCTTGATTTTGCCGGAAATCACATTCCAAAGATGTCCCCAGTTTTACCCTTATCTAGTATATATCTAGAGATTCAATCAATTATGTATTATATTTCTATAGTAATCTAAAACTTTCACGTACAGTCCTAAGTGGTAGGTCCCATGATTTCCATTTTAGAGATTAAAAACCTGAGGCTCAGAAAAATTGAATGACCTTCCCAAAGTCTCATTATTAGATATGTCAGGAATCTGTCAATTTCTGGTCTAATGTTCTTTCTGTGAGAGGTGGTACTAAACCATAGGTCAAGGTTCTGTTTCTCCTTACCAGGCATCATTTGGTTTGCCCTTATTTTAAAGCAACACTAATTAATTTTAAAGATGAACTTTGAGTCACTAACCCTGGGGTTGGTTTCGAAAGGAAGAAACCATAGTCAGCTTCCATTTTTTCTCTGCCTCTTTGAGAGTGTCATAATTTACTGAAAGAGTTTAGAATACATGTCTGTAAAATTTGCATGCATGCTGTGGAATGACCTTTGATCTTGTCCTCCTGGGCTGTGTGTCCCACCTCCTTCCAGAGTGATGACATTGGTCTGCTGCTTGATGGGAAGTGAAGATGTAGATAGCGGGTAGCTCCTTCTACCCAGGGAAAGAGGTTTCTACAACAGGACCCAAGACCTCTTCTGCTCCACTGATGAGGACTTCTCAGTGATCTGTTTGCACATTCTTTTCCTGCCTGGTAATTATCACCAGCTGTCTCAACTTAAAAGGAAGGAATCTCTTTGAAATCCTCCCTATCCTCTGTGAAATGTGCTACTGAAACATGCTAATTAGTAAGTGGACTTAGGACAACACGGATATGTGTTTCCTGTGAGTACCGGAGAAGGAAGAGGAGGAGGGAGGTGAGCATCTGTCTCGCTGCATATGTGTGTGTCTGCTTTTCTAATTTTCAAAATGACATTTTTAATCAAACTCTGCCCAAGTGTGATCAGTAGCCAGCCAGCAGTGAAGGCCCAAGTACCCAAGTGAGTTGACTTCTCAGCTTTCATTGATACTTCCTGCCTGAGCTTGTCAGTGGTTCACGTCAGAAGGAAGGGACAGTGACCTTGCTTCTCTTCCTCAGCAAACTGATTACCCTCACTCTTTTCTACAGTATCAGTAATCACAGGACTCCAGGGAAATTAAAAATAGCTCCCGTTCCTTCAGGGACCCCTGTCTCAGAGTAAGCTGAGAGTCAAGGGGATCCGTAACAATTAGCACACCCGGGAATTGGAGGAGAGAACTCAGAAGCATAATGTTGCATTGTGTCAAATATACTTAGCTAAAAATGGAGAACCCACTGGTTTCCAAGTGTAAACTGTGATTATGTGAAAATCTGTGTTTTTATAATTCTGAGCAGCAATTTCCAGGGTTTCAAACTTACTGGCAAGCACCTCTTGGGGCAAGAACTGCTCATGACATGGAAAGGAAGTTGGAGGATTTTATGGAAGCACTTGGGGATTTATTGACAGGATGAAAAGAACTCCTAGGAGACTAGAGGCCCGTCCTTGGGACAAGGGTGGGCAGTATCTTTTACCTCCAAGATCATTCTGCTGGGGCAGTCTAGTCAAGAATCCACCTTGGCATTCCTGAGGCTATCTCAGCAGAGCTTCTGGACACCCCAGGGACTGCGGAGCAACAATCTGTACCCCAGCTGGTCTCATATTCTTGTCTCACTGGCTCAAAGTTTACCGTCTTACTGTGAGTGTTTGATAGGTCGAGATTTGTTCACATCCCTACTATGTGACTGCCAGGTGGAATGGGGCAGTAATCAAAAGATGGATTGTCATACTCATGTCCTATTGATGGTGTTGGAGTTTGCTGTTTGGCTGTTGTTTCTCCCCAAACCACATGGGAAGGATAATTCCACATGAGAAAATTAGTTTATTTTTTTTAGCAAGAAAACTTGATAAATATCTACTTCAAAAATCTACAGAAGGAAGATTCTGTTTGTCCAGTCTCCCTCAGTTATGGGATATGCAGTCTTGCATGGCCAGTGGTATAAGAGACTTATCCTGCAGATCTAAACACCTGGTTCAACTGACCCGGCTCTGGGAAGCAATGCAGTAACTGAGTTGTCTGCAGCTCCTGAGAGTGTTCCAAGGATTGGAGGTGAAGCATGCTTCATTCCAAGGATGCCCCATCTTTTGTGCCTCTGGTCTACCATAGCTCTCCGATGACTTAGCTGCCCTGACTTACTCTCGTCCTGTCCTTGATGTCTGTGTACTCCTGGCTCTGGCTTGGCTGCTTGGTTTTTCCCAGCCTGTGATTTTAGGTTCTCTTCAGCTGAGTAGTCAACTTCACTCTTTCTCTTTCCTGCTTTTGGTTGAAAGCAAAGGGAAGAAGAAAGGATGACAATATCTGGTATTTCTTTGGGAGACAGAGCAGATCGACGCATATGATGTGAGGGCTACCAACCCAAAGCTACGAACTTTCGTCTCCAGCTACAGTTCCTTTGTTGTCCTCACTGCTCTCAGAATTAAGTTGAAACCACTAACTAGGTAGGTAAGCGCTTTCCTGAACTTCCTTCCTTCCCTCTGCTTCACATTCTAGGCTCAAACTTCACTCATCTACTTTCTCCATACACAACAGGCCCACCTCTAACATTTACAGGGCCCCTGACTTGAGTATACATTGAGATCATAAATTCTATTTCTAAATTCTTAAAATGTATACATTAAGCTAATACATTGTTGCATAAAATACATTCTGTCCTCTGCCTTTGATTTAAATATATATATATATATATATATATATATATACTTTTAAAGCTACCTAGGAAGCTAAGTTTAGATTTTGAATTCTCAGATTCCAGAATTCCACATCAAAACGTCATGGCTCAGGAGGGCATTCCCAGCACCCAACCTACGAGGCTTCTCTTCCCACCCCTTGATCTGGCCTGCACCACCAAAGATTGTGCTTGTGGGAATATTGGCATGTAATCCACCCATCAAGGAACCATCAACACATCTGGAAATGGCTATCCCTTACCAGCAAAAATACAGTCTTAGTTCACCCCTGGGAGGAGAGTATGAGAAAGAAACACTTATAGGTTTTGTAAGGGACAAAGGGCCACTGGGGCAAGTGCTTCTGGAGTCCTGGATTTCAGATCAGGGTCTAGAATGGAGTGTGAGAATGAACTCTGGGTAAGCCTCTCTTGGTCTTATAGACTCTATAACCTTGGTGGGAAGCCAGGGGGTGGTAGAGTCCAGGAGCTGAGGCCCCCTTGCCAGGTATAAGGGTTATATTGGCACAGATTTTCCTCTGCCAGGTTGGTTTTCCCCTATATTATCTAATTGACTCATTCATCTCCCAAGTAGCAGAGCTTATTCTACCTCCTTCTTCCAGGAAATCTTTGTCATTCTCCTAACACAAATTACACCTTTCTCCTAAACCGTCTCTTTACACTTACCATATGTCTAAAGATGATTTAACCTCTCAGTTCCTCAGTTTACTTTCAGGACTATCATATGTTTGGAAGAATTAATATACACAGAATTTTAGAAAAGTAACAGATTAAAAAAAAGATGTTAGCTATTGTAAGTATTATCATATATTCACATAGTACCTTGTACTTATTCCTGTAGAAATATTTCACATTGTTTTATTATTATGTTTTGTTACATCTTTCAAGAAGATAATATGTTTCTTGAAAATAAGGACTTATTTTGAATTAGTTTTGTATTCCTAACAGAAAACTCAATATGTTACTTAGTAGGTGCTCAATAAATGTATTTGGAGTACATGAATTGCCTCTTGGGGAGTCGGAACTTACAGTTCTGCTGTAACTTGTAAAGAAAAACTCTGGGAAATCGAACTCAGCTTCTTAGATGCTCCTGACTTGAGGCCTTTAGTAGAAGGAGATGGTAGAACTAAACCAGAATCATGTCACAGGATGGCATAGAGAATAAATATTACTCAAGTGTCATTCCAGCCCAGGAATTAGATAATGCTTGCACAAGCCACTAACTCAGTGTCCTGGCAAAGATTTCCAATCCAAAACATTCCATTATGTAATGTATTTGTCTTTATATAAGCCAAATGATTTGCCAAACATTCTTCCAATGGTTTTTGAGACCACATGTTTCTCTACACCCATGATCTGGGGTGTCTGAGCCACTATTTTCCTTAATTGGACCTGTTTACCCTGGTAACTTGAAGATAGGCAGAGCTCAGGAAATATGGGTAAGAGAAAGACTTTAATGATGTTTGCTTGATTACGATAATGAAACTGCTCCGCTGAGTTTTTTCCATCATTTATTCAAGTGGTTGCTAAGTAATTTCAGTCCAGTTCCACAGTTAGAATGAATGGCCCTGGCTGCCAGTTGGTTAGAAAACTGTTCTGTTCATCATTCATTCATTCATTCATTTGGACTTGTCATGAACTGCGATTGAATGTAGCAAGATGTTTTATACAAGCCTCAGAGACAAAAATGAAGGAAAATAGAAAATACTCCTAAGAGAATTCCCTTTTCCTTTTCTTTTAACACTGTGTTCTCTCATTTAGCTATGCATATAATAAAAGTAAGCATTACAAATAGAGTTTTCAAAATTAATTAAAATAAAGATCATTTAAAGTCATCAACCTTTCTAATCAAAGCCAATCTTATTATAACAAACATCTATGTAAATAGTGTTTACAATGTGCCAAGCACCTAATGTTTTAAGTATATTAACTTATTTAATCCTCACAGTAATCCTGTGAGGTAAAGCATATTATTCTCCATAATTTACAGATGAGAAAATAGAGACATAGAGAATTAGAAACTCTTTCATTTATTTTATTTTTATGGTGCCAGGGATTGAACCTAGGGCCTGGTGCATGCTAACCACATTTTGTAGCATTGAGCTACAACCTTAACTCTAAAATTAGGAATTTAGATTAAAATTATATAATAAGTGGTAAGACAAGTATTCAAAACCAATCCATCTGTCTGTGCTCTGTGGAATAGAGAAACATTTAAATAATTTTTTCAAATAGAGGGGCCCTGTTGAGCTAGATTATAAAAGAATATTAATGCAAACTTTTAGTATTTATTTTTTATTACATGCATATTTTAATTTTTAATTTCTAGGCAAATCAGTCCTCTGTCATGGAATAAACACTGATGTGATATGAGGCTGATTGTGATGTTGGTTAACAATTTTTTAACTAATGGAATTACAATGTAATGTATTGAGCATCTGATATTTTGGCCCTTTTAGGATTTGGGACTGAACTCTGTAAATGAAGATTTTTCTGAATGAAATGCAGTTGATTGCAGTTGAATGAAGTGCAAGGTGAGGTGCACTCTATGTCCCTGGAATCCACATCACCAGGCATAAGGGTCTTGTCTCCATGGCAACAGATGGAGGCTTTAACTCTTACAGGGCTGACACTGTCCTTGTATTCCTCACTTCCCCTTCCTCTGGTCTTATCAGAAGTTAATAATAACCAGTTATTACAGGAGGGAAATAAAAATGTTCAACATCCAGTAAAACTTTCTAGAATCTAATAAAAGGGGAAAAATGTTTCCATTAATGCTTTTGAGCTTTCAAAAAGAACCTTCACAATGGTTTTAAAAGGCTTTTTTTTTTTCTGTTATGCATTATGATTATCCCCAGATCTGGCTTGAGTGTTGTAGTTAAATGGAAAAAGAAGAAACAGAACGATAACTTCTTCTCCCTCCATGATTTGCACCTGTTGTTTACATAAAAGTGGGGTGTGGAGTGGGCATGTCCTGGGGGAAGGAAAAGAAAAGAAATGAAGGACTGCCTCTGTTGTGATGATTTTGATGGGACAGCTCTGAAACTGAGCCAAGTTTTTCAGATTTTTTCAAGTTCTATGAAGTCCAATATGTTCAGTTTGTTGCTTTTCTTGAGAAATACAATGATTTAGTAAATACTTTGGAAAGAAAAGGCGTGTCTAGTAGAAGAGAAGAGGTCAAGATATTATCTTTTCTGATGGTTTATCTATTAAAGGAAATGATAATCATCAGAGACAACACTTACGTAGGTTAATATTTGCCAAGGACATTTCTAAACATCATACCTATATTTACCCATGTATTCTATGATATGTACAGCTGTTCTACAGTTGAGTTACAGAGACATAAAATAATGTTCCCAGAATGTCAGAACTATTACTTTGAAGGAGTATTCAAACCCCTAGTCTGTTACCAGGTTTGTGTAGTTAACCACTCTTCCACATGGTCTCTTAAAGTCTGCTGTTTTCTAATGCACTACTTAAACCTTTATGAATCATTGATTTCTATTCTCATTTGTCAGCTTTGACAGCATCATTTTGTCTTTTAGCTGCATATCAAAATGCTCACATGGCTTTTTTTATTTACTTGCATTTGTATGTGTGTGCGTGCGTATATATATTAAAGAAAATTAAAAGAATTTTGGACAGAATTTTGTAATCTCTTAAGTGATAATTATGGATAACTTGGAACATCAGAAGAGTAAGTTTAGGAATCATGTATGTAATATTTGTTTCACCACATTTGTTAAATTTTAGTTAAAATGGAAAATAGTTAGACTTTCTTTTCTTCAAATAATTTTTTTCATGTTTTCCCTCTTTTTTTTTTTTTTTTTTATACTGGAGACTGAACCCAGAAGCAATTTTCCTCTGAGACACATCTTTTGGAGGCTGGCATCACATCCCCAGACCTTTTTATTTTTCTTTTGAGACACAGTCACACTAAGTTATTTAAGGCCTTACAAAGTTGCTGAGGCTGACCTTGGATTGGCAATCTTCTGCCTGAGTTTCCCAAGTCACTGGGATTACAGGCATGTGCCACCACACTTGGCACCCTCCAAACTTCTTTCTTTTCAATGCTTCTGCTTTGGCCCCACTATAAACCTGATCATGGAAAATGGAGCTATATCTGAATATTTAATGATGATGCTATAACATTTTTTCGTCATTCTGGTCCCTTCTAATGCAATATTGTTAGGAAAATGGGCATTGACTCTAGGTTGTGCTTGGTACAGGGTTCATTAATATGCTATTTATTCTAATTTGGAATTTATTTTCAGGTTTTAATTCATGCTCAATTTTTGCTTAATTTCTGGGGGATAAGATTCTCTATAAATTAATTTGATATGATTTGGTCCACAGTATAATCAAATCTTCATCTAAGAAAGTTTATAAATATAGTCATAATATATTACCACAACATTAAGGGAAATCATAATAAATGTCATAATAGACACAATTTTATCCATTTATTTTTATTAGGTCTTCATTTAGCATGACATTGAATTTAATTAGTACCTTACCTTACAGTTTAGGGGTGATGACAATTAGAGTGAAATATTTGAATCAGCCTGTTAAACTGCGTACACATCAAGTGGTTTAATTAATCTATTCTGAGCAGTTTTTATTTTAGGGGCCAGGACTAATTTAGCATTTTATTAAGATTGACAATACCCCAAATTTCAAGTCTGCTGACCAAATGCTGAATGATTGATAGTGTTTCTCTACCCTCTAGTGGTCTAAAGCAGAACTGAACAGGCCAACCCAAGAATCTTCATGGACAACTGGCTGGGAATCCTGAGACTGGGAAAGTAATACTTGCATCAGTTTGGCCTTGAATCTAGAAGGGCAATGGTGAAAGACTTAAGGCCAGCGTTCCAGAGTGGGTAAGATGAGCATGTATTCCAGCTCTGAGTTGGTTTTATAGGCATGCAAGGAGAACAATGGTGGGTTTTTAAAATTTGTTTTAAATGTTTCTTTAGATTTCTTACTTCTTCCGGAATATTTGGGTTTTGCAGTATGGTGAAATAAATGTTCTCAATCTGGATTCTTATCAGTGACATTATCCCATTTTGTGCTGGGTAATTCTTTCTTGCAGAGGTGCAATTTGGATGTTTAGCAGCTCCCTGGCCTTGTGATACCCTAGCTATGATAACCACAACATTCCCAGCATCATCAAATATCTTCTTGGGGGAAAAATTTTCCTCCTGCTTGAGAAGCATTTTGTTGCTAATGGTTCCTATTAGGTTGGAAATAGTTCAGTAAAAGTCAATATTTTATTAAATGCTGATTACCTGTCAGGTCTTGTTTTTGTTGATATTATTATTTAGTACCAGGATGTCTTGCTAAGTTGTTTAGGGCCTCACTAAGTTGCTGGGGCTGGATTTTGAACTTGTGATCCTTCTGCCTCAGCCCTCTGAGTTGCTGAGATTACCGGTTGGGCACCACCATGCTGGGCAGGCCTTGTGTTATTTAATTTAATCCTTATAAGAATCATCAGAATTAAATCCTATACTTTCATCATCTCATTTTCACAGGCGAGGAACTGAAAAGGAGTTAAATAACTTTCATGACTGCACATCGGCAAGTGGCAGACTCAGCACTAAATATAGAGGGTCTGACATCACAAGTGTCACCCTTCATTAATCTCCTAAATGGAGTAAAAAACAGAATTATTGATTTATAAAATAATAATTCACAGACATCAGTGTACATAATTTTCTGAATCAACAATAAAACAGAAGGGAAAGAGATGGTACAACATTGTCAGAGGAATATTAAATCATTTTTTCATTCCTTTATCACATATCTACTGTTTATAGGGATACAGAAATGTATGCAACAAAGTTTCTGCTCTCTAAAGCTTACTTACATTATTTTAGGAACAAAAGAAAAAATTCGTATGTAATATTTCATATATTAATGTGTTACAGAGAAAATAAAACATGTTAAAAGAGGATACAAAGGTCACGAGGCTTCTGATATGGTGACATTGAGCAGACAATGAGGGAACAGCATTGTGAATGAAGTGCAGACGAGGTAGGGAATTTACTCCAGGTGATGAGAACAGCCAGGACAAGGTCCTGATGCAGGAGCATATTTGAAGTGGAAGTGAACTTGCTACACGCTAAGGGGAAAGCAAGGAGTCAACGCAACCAGAACAGAGAGAGTGAAGAGGAACAGGAGAAGGGATAGAGAGGCAAGGCCAGGAGGCAGGGGGGTAACATGGACCCTGTAAGTCCCATTAGGCCATGTAAATGATGTCAACTTCTACTCTGACTGAGATAAAAATCTATTAGAAAAAGAAATGCCACGATCTGACAATTTTTCAAAGAATCATGCGGATGTTTTCCCCTGTTTGGGAAATGGTTTATCACCATGAATGACCATGAATTCTGGAATGAGGCTGGCCTCTTTTTTTTTTTTAAGTGTTATCTCTAAGATCTCACTCCCTTTGGACTTTGGAACAAATGACTTAACTTTCTGGTCTCTCTCTCTCTCTTTTTTTTTTTTTTTGTTATGTTTTTTTGTTTTGGCTAAAGGAAACTTGTGGTAATATCCTTCTTATTGAATCTCAGTGCCATTAGACAGGAGATGCACCATTATTTTATGTTCCAGTAAGAAAACAAAACAAAACACAACATTGCTGATCATGTACCAGTCATTCAAACCAGGCTGTTTGGAAATGACATTAATCTATTCCTGGGGATTTGGTAATTTTCTCTGACTTCTCTTGCATTTCTTGGCATATAATAGCAATAATTTTGCATAAAATTCTCAGTAACAAAATGAAGCACACATTTATCTGTTTATTGGTAGTTCTCAGAGTCTTATAAAGCATTTGGTTGTTGCTTTGTAAGAAAAGATGAAATTTCTTTCCTACATGAATATTTGCTTTACTAACATTAAATTTATCCCATACATATTTGTTCAGTTTTTATGCTTATAAAATAACATTTAATTTAAATACTGAGTCACAATATAAATGATTTTAAAACAGAAATTAAACAACATATGCTGTGTCAATGATGTGCATTAAGTCAACTGAAATGATATTAATGTGACTTTACACATTTACAGACAATGACAGAATAACATGTCTGCCTTTTGGCCCATGATGATTGAAAGGGAGCATAAATTCTAGGTTAAAATGTAATGTGTGTGAGTGTATGTGTGTGTGTGTGTGTGTGTGTGTGTGTGAGAGAGAGAGAGAGAGAGAGAGAGAGAGAGAGACAGAGAGACAGAGACAGAGAGAGGGGAGATGTATATATGTATGTTGTAATTGGTGGAATGTGTAGTGGTACTTGAATTGTAAAATATAATTGACAGTAAACTTTTGGTAACTATTACTTAGAATTCTCATCTTTATGAAGGCACTATTTTAAGAAAATATGGAAAGAATGGAATGAGAAAACTTTCATTTCCTCCATTTTTCTCTAGCCCCAATCTTTCAATTGTAATTACTCAGGCATCTTCCTATCTTTTTGTGCTTTCTACTCCCAGAAGGAAATAAAATGACATGTTACAACTCCCTAAACATCCCCTTTCCCCAAATCATTGATCAATAGCTCATATATATATATATATATATTTTTTGCCCTAAGTCTCTGGGTATGCTTTCCAAAGTGTAATGGATTTTTATTATTTCTATCCCTTGAGTAGCTTTTGATCCAAGGTTGACTTTTGCCGTGTAAGGTTTTTTTTTTTTTTTTTTTGGTCCCTTAATGATTTGGAAAGCTGAGGAGACATTTTCACTTTGTCTTATCTCTTCCTTGTTTATTATTTGGCCTGATTTTGGAGAACCCTTCCCAAAAAGTCATGGTTGGCTGATAAGTTGCCCCCTAAACTCAGGGTCTGATTTGTCTTTACAGTCATTAAACCATATGAGATCATTTAGGGAAAGGCTGAGGGTAGCGACATTCATGGTTATTATTTATCCCTGGCCTTTTTACATCTTTCCAGAATGGCATGCTTCTTGACCATCTGCCTTATCAAACTAAGAAAGAAAACAGATGGTGTGGGAGCCAACAGATCAAAGGAAGGACTGGGGGAAGCTCTTCTCAGGAATCAGCTTGTTCTTTTGCAAGGGCTAATTGTAAACTGGAAATGACCTGGTGCTCTGCTGCACTGGAACCTCAGGCCAACATAGATGCTGTCAGTTTCTATCAGCCCCAGGTGATTAACAGTATCTTAAATCTTCAGATGAAATTGTTGCTGGGTCTTTTAGAGCAGGTGGTCTGTTCTGAACCACAAGCTGTGCAAATATTGAAAGGAGAGTATCCATTTGGGAGGGAAAGTAGGCAGCCAAAAAGACCTTGATCCTGGAGATGGTACTTGTTACTTAACCTGGCTGCAGTATAATAAAGCTAATTATTGATATCTTTAAAATTATTGATTGTATTTTGAGATAATCTGTCTGAACTATCCTTTTCAATCACTCAAAATACTCTAAGCAGCTTAATTCACTTGTTATTGGCACCTAGATTGGGATTTGTAGCAAGGTTGGTGACCAAATATTTGCCCCAAAGGTCACTTAAACTCTAATTGATTTTTCCAGAAGTTTTGAAACGAGCTGTCATGTTGATTGTAACCCTTAAAAGTCAGATCCCTGCTCACTTGCTCAGATGAAAGCATTTTTGTTAGCATGTTAATATTTCATTTTATTCTCTGAGTTTGTATGAAAATGAACCTCGAATAATATAGCAGTCTTTTCTCATTTAGAATGTCTAGAGTCCTTTACCTTTAATTTTTTTTTTTAGAATTACAAACATTCAAACATTTATGTGCCTTAATAAGTTTTATTCTCTGGCATAATTTCAATTAAAAATGCTTGTGAGGAGAGTTAAGTCATTCCTTGTGATTTGTGCCTGTGCATTGATCGTATCCTGTAAGTGCTAGTGTAAGGTGACAAATGCAGATACTAGACAGGAGGAGGGAAGTGACGGGTAGCAGCAAGCAGCAGGCAGAGCTCCGTGGACGTGACCTCTATGGATGGGCACCCATCATGGGTCTTGGCATTTGAAAAGGATTAGAGGAGGCTGAATAAATATTCTTGGTCACACATAAGCAAATGATTAAAAGTCAGATAATCTTTCTTGGTAAAAAGCTGCTATAAGCTGCCAGGCATGGTGGTTCAGTCTTGTAATCCCAGCGACTTGGGAGGCTGAGGCAGGGGGGTCGTAAGTTCAAGGCCAGCCTAGTAACTTAGCAAGACCCTATTTCAAAATAAAAATAAATAAAAGGACTGGGGATGTGGCTCAGTTGTAAAGCACCCGGGTTCAATAAAAAAAAAAAAGAACAAAAATGAATCTGCTGTAAGCAAAAATAATTCTCCCTAAAAGGATAGGAGTTTGGTATTAGGAATTCTCATTGGACTTAAGGAGATTCATTTTATTCTTTGTCAAATGAAATTAAAATTATGTATGAAAGAGTCTTAAGCTTCCTTGAAAATTTATCCTAATCACCTGTCTGACAATATAACCCTTTGCTAGAGATATATCTTAATGCACTTTCATTTGCAGATAATATATTACATTATATATATCTATATCTATCTGTATTTATCTATCTACCTACCTATCTGTCTAACTCTCTCTATATATATCTTTGAGGTGATCTGATGTTGTTTAGCAAACTTAAAACCCATCTACCAAAAATAATTTTGACCACCTACTATGTGCTTGCTTTCCAAGTTGCTGAGATAATAGTATTAAAATTGTGGTGGATTTCATCATTAGCCTTAATTCTTTAACTACTCCCTATATCATACTCTTTGCTGGGTGACTTTGAAGTTTACAAGAACAAAGAGAGAAGTTGAGTGACCAACTGGTCTGTTTACCAAAGACTTTTCTGTTGTAACATGGAAATTGTTTGCATTTTCATTCTG